CGAAAACATTCTCTACCGAAATTGGGAATGGGCGTCGAACCGTTAGACAATATTAAAAATTCATGTTTTTTCATCTGATTGTTAATTTTTGCAAATAACAAAGAAACAGCTATTCTTTCTAAAATAATTGTCACCAACTACTTTTCAGTGCGTTGTTATATATAGGTATATAGATAGGGCTATTTACGCTGAATAATTAAAGTTTCAGAGAGAAACGGTCTTTCAAACAACAACAGATCCTTAAAAAAAAAAAACACGGTAAATCGCCATTTTAGCAAATATGATGGAAACTGCTATTCCAACGAGTAGTTTATAATAATTATCTTCGTTTTAGCAGTTACTATGATATTTATTATAATAAAATCTAGGATAATTCCTCTGAAACTCTCAATTTTTTAAAATTACATTTGAGCATAAGTACTTCTGTCCTGTAAACGGTTAAGGTTCGTTTTATTGGGTGGAACTGTCACTATTATTGTTCAACGATGATATTGCAAACGTAATCATAGAGCTGGAACTTTTATTCTTCTTCTTTATTCGTCTTCAATAATCATATAGGAGAAGGATGAAGATCCGTCACTTACGATATTTGCCGAGAGAGAACTCATACCACATATTTTCTTCCTTTTTTATCTAATTTACGATAGTGAAATTATTTTCGAGGAAGTGACAAACCATCGGTCATTGAATCGATATTAAAATCAAAGATTCAAGGAAAATATATCGAATGATATTGGTAATAAACTTGGAAGACCAAATAAGTTTTTATTAATTGTTTAAATTTCCTGTATTTTCTTCTTCTTCCTCTTAATCAGTTCCTCTTCTAACGCTAGATCAGTGTAGAGGATCCTGTTTATAGAGGCTGATCCATTTATCTCGTTCCCGCACCAGCTGACTGCGTCTATTCCAATTCATTCCTCTCCTATCGAAATCCTCCCTGGCTGAACCTTCCCAGGTCTTTCTGGGCCTTCCTCTCGGCATTCTTCCTTCCACTTTTACTTCATATATAGTTTTGGCCATTCTTTCCTCCTGCATAATATTGACATGACCAAACCAGCGTAGCATGTTTTCCTCTATTGTATTTTTTGCTGGTTTTATTTCCCAATTTCTGCTTATCGTTGAATTCCTGATTTTTTCCTTCTGGTTTTTCCCTCTATTCTTCTCAGAAACCGCATTTCCATTGTATTTTCTTTAATTAAATATAATTTCAAACTAAATAATCTTAGTGCTCAGCTCATTGCATTAGCAACTCTAATCTCGAATGTTTCAGGGTATAGATTATGTTGCATGAATCATTGTTGATGTAGTCTTTTAGCGATTTTAGAAATAAGAAAAGCTGTTTAATAGAAAAATAGTAAAATTTGGAATATGTTTTGTCATCTTCACGCAGATGGGTAGAGATCGATTTTTATATAATCCCTCTTCGTTTTTTAACACATATAGAGGTTGTTTATATTTTTAGATAATTATACAATCATCTTGAATATTTTTTAAGAATATTTTAGTAACAATATTTTGCGTCGGGTTAGTGTTTGTCATTTTTTTTTCAACCTACCTCTAGAACTATATGACCAGTGAAGAATCCACAGATTGCAGGCGTTTCGAGCAAAATAGTGATTAAGATAAAATTGTTGAAAAATCATCGTGAGATTCGCATCGATCAGAACATACCTTTACGTTTTCCGAGCTGTTCCATTAAAAACTATTTTTATCTAACTGATGACTATTCTTTTTTTGTTTGCCCCAGACCTTTTGTTAGAAATGTCTGATGCCTGAGAGTGCGAAATCTTATGAGTGGAGGAGTAGGACAGGAAACGGGCTCCCAATGCATTAGCACGGGCCAGTAGATCCCTCGCAAGATAGCTCGCTGGTGGAAGGCTCAGGTAACAAGTGTTATCGGGATGGCTGTGCTTAATCTTATCTGGTTCCTTAGTCATCTTGTCTACGCAACTTGAGATCTTTCAGAAAGCAATATTGTTTTTCCTCTTTTATCTAAATATTTTTTGTAACATGAGAGACTATTAGTCATTTTTATAGCTTTTAAAATGATCTTTTCTTTTCAAAATAAAAATTAATTATATCTTGTATCTTTGGTTTATTTTCCTTCTATCATTGCTCAAATTATCTTATACTATTTTTACCCAAAACTAACTCGTATATTTATAAATAATAGACTGATAAATGCTAAAAACATTCGGTAACATTATAACTCCTAATGATTGGAGGCAGTTAGGCGACCGTTCTAAATATTATGAGTGATAAATAGTCAGGACGTAGCGAGTTTATAAAATTTTTATTGTTGCCAACCCAAGCTTATGAGTCATCATCAGGACATGTTACCAGCACTGAAGGCGTTCAAGTACTCCAGTACTCAAGTACTAGTACCCATATTACAAATGCTAGTGCTCAAGTACTCCGTTCCCTTTTAAACATTCCATCAACAACATTTATCACTCTTATTATCAACATTTACACAACATATAAATTTCAAAAATGTGTCATAAATCAGAACGTCAGGACGCCGTCAGTTAATAAGATTTTTGAATTGCATTTTTTGTAATTGCATTACATTGCATCTTTACCTTAGAGCAGTCGCTCTGATGATGGCCTGAACTTCAGGTCGAAACGTCGGCATATGTAAAAATAAATATTATCATTTATTTTTGCCTTCTTTTTGACTGACCACCCCAACTATTCTTCTCTTCATTATCCACGACAGTCAACCATTTCCCAATTATAATAAGATTTTTATTGTTGCCTACGTTCAACCCAAGCTTGTGGGTCATCATGACATGTTACCAGCACTCTTCAATTAATGTGTTTTTTCGTGTTTCTGAAGATTTAAATTTTGAATATTAATATAAAACTGTCAATTAACTCAATTATTTAAAGATTTCAATATCATTATGGTCAGTAATGAAATTAGAAATAATAACTAACAAATTGTTAGTTATTCATATATTTTTTTCTCAATTATAAAAATGTTTGAATAATAAATTTATATAGCTCGTCAGTTCGGCCAATTTTAAATTCCGTATTTATTTACTAAACCCAAACGTATTAATGGGAGCTAATTTTAGTATAATTATATAATAAGATAAATATAATTATCTGTAATTCTACACAAAGTTTAATCCTAACCTGATAAGTAACAATTACTGGAGTGCTACTAATGAGTGTACTTTCGAACTCGAATTATTTATAATATTATGTATTAAATGTATTAATCGAATTATGAATTTTTTTTATGTATTCTTTTTAAATTATAACGTATTTACAACTACTAAATATTAGTATGTTTCAAAAATGGAATATTGAAATATCTCTGAAAGCATTAATATTCCTGTAAATGGTGTTTTTGAAGAGAAGGATGGTTGGGGTGATTAGTCAAAATAAAAAACGACGAAGAGGAACCACTAAATTCGTGATATTCGCGTGGTCTTTAAGGCCTGTTCGTGAAAAAAAAATCGAATTATATATTAAATTCCATAAAATTCCAAATCGGAATTAAATAAAAACTTCTACATTTATTATTTTTAATTGGTCGATTTTCATTGATCTATTGATATCAATAGCTATTGTAACCAATTTTCTGTAAATTAGATATTGCCACATAAAAAATAATATGCAATCAAATCCATTTTCAATTCCAACATCCATTTTTATTGTTCATGGCGTAGAATTTTAAGGTCGGATTACGACTTGTTTTCAACAAACCATGAAAAAACTCTAGTGGCTAATATGGATGAGATATAATTTTTTTTTTTTTTTTTGTCTCGACTATGACTTATTTTTTATTATTCTTTCTATGATGTTTTATATTCTATTTTTTTATTCTTATTTTTTATTCTATTGTTTAATTTTTCATCTCAATAATAACATCCCAAGAACAACTAAACTAGATCCTTTTTAGAATTTTACAGCCAGTTGTAGTTTATTTTATTTAGGCTGTTGGGATTGCCTTGGACCTCTTCACACCCACACTGATGGGACTGATATAAAAAAAAAAAAACTGATGCCATCCCTTTTAGCCCAAGTGGACTTGTCTCCATCAACAAGTTTATTTACTTAGTGGCAGGGGATGTACTATGAAAAAAATGTTTTGAATTATAGAACTACAGGCCTGGTCAGTGTGGTCGATTTTAAATGCTATATCTATTGAATAAATGAAATAGTTATAGTTTTAAATAAAATTAAATAATATATGTGTGTTTATTATGATAACTATAATCATCAGGACTTATACCTAAAGTTTAACTCAACCATTATTTTACATGTTCCTTATTTATTTATACGCTAGTAAAAGCAGGTCGGTTGCCAGAATTTGACTTTAGAATGGCCAAATAATTTCATAAACAATCATATCGACAGGCTTGAAGTCCCCTCTGTGGCAATGGGCCTGTCCGCAAGTATAAGTCCTGGATTGAATATTCCATATTTATAATACACACCTCCAAGCTGAAAGGCACGAAAGGAGGAAGAGAAAGAAGATAATGATACACTATTACTTGACACTTTTAATAGAATCTTGTTCATTTTTGCCAAAATTTTCTTAATTGTATACATTCAATATGAAATTATTTTGTAATTATACACATTATAAATTGAAACAAACATTAAAGTAATTAAGACTGAATGTGTAAATCAAAGTTAAAATTTTAATTTGTAATCGTAAACTAAACTTAAAACAACTTCGAAGAATCAAATCTAAATAATGTGAATCCAGTGTGTAATGTAAACTTTTATTTTCCTATTTTCTTAGTTGAAAACTAGGATATTTATTACTGTAAGACTGCTTGCTACACAATTTGTATCTATTATTTGTAAGGCAATCATTACAATTGTATAAACAAGGGGCTGTACTGTGTATTTGGCGTTTACTAGAGCACTATTTTTTTTAAATTTAACTTGTAAACAATACCCATCTCAGAGATATAATTACTTATTAAAATATATATAAAAACAAAAAGGTCAGGGATGAATAAATAATTTATTCAGAATAAGATTTTCTTTTAAATTTCTTTATTTCAAAATATCAAAATATAAATGAAAAATAATTACAGGCAAAATCAAAATCAATCTACGCATGCATCAGAACTAAAAATGATAATTATAACACAAATTACAAACATATATACATATACACTTTTCCAATATATTTAAAAATTATTTTTTAAAGCTTTTACCATTAATATCTAACATCTAATTTAAAACTATTAAAGCTTTTGTTTGATCACAGAAAATATATAAATAAAATTTTTAAAAAATCTAACAAACAATAAAGAAATATTTCTCTACTAAAATCTTTAATCAAAACAATTTTATGTACAGTTTATGTAAAGCTAACACCTTCATTGTATTGAAAGAGACAGGAGTGAGCCGCTACCTTCCACAATATTCTTTAAACAAAAACTATACAATAATTGAAAAAAAAAAATCTTATCATCAAAAATATATACAGAACTTAATAAAAATCTATAAAATCATACATCGAGTAGTTTATACAATAGAAGCTATGTAGCAATGTTTATGTACAAAATATATATTTCTTAATTTACAAACTACATCACAAATATAACTTGGCCAATAATTTCTTATTAAAATATTCATCTGGTATTTATCGTTGAAAAATGATTATAGTTAAACCATTATTTATCAAAAAATACAATAAATGTATATTGTTTGTATAAAGTTGAACACATTTTATCAGTTAACACGCATCAGATAAAAGATAATACCAGAGGCCAATTTATTTATGTGATGTGGCAATCAATATAAGAGAAATATAAAACAATGCATGCAAAATAAGAACAATTAATTGAAACATAAAATATGTAATGCCAATTTTACAACTAAATAACTAACCTAAAAAAAACAATCTAAGCAAACTAATGAAAGACAAGCGGGTTAGCAAAGCTTAAATTCTCTAAAAGCACTGTTCGGCCTATTTCGCTTGAGGCAGCGATGGGTTCCAAATTATCTTGCTGAACATTACTGGTTCAGCGGAGGCAAGTCTTCCTTCTTAACCATAACTCGTTCTAAATATCCCCAGTGGAGGTTCAAATTGAGCTTGGCATTTGGACCTAGTCTTCTCAGGATACTGTTTTCCAGCAGCATCTGTCACAAGAAAGAAAGCATTATAAGTAACGTGTCACACTATTCTTCAGTTCAATACAATAATTATAATTATACACTTAAACCTTATTAATAACAAAGTATTTTAATTATTTACATTGTAGTTGACAAATGTGATTGAGAGAGAACTAAGGAAAATAACATTAATTTGTTGATTCAGCATCAAAGTAGAAAATAACAAAAGGCCTTTCAACATTTTTCCTTGTCGTTGTTTCACATTATCAATTTTTTTATGGTTATGATATTAAAACAAGTGATGAAGATTTGTTAATGTAATTTTTGAAAAATACTTCCAACTTAAGTTATAATTAGCTTTTAGGTTTATAAAAATGAACTTCACTTTCAATAATAACTTAGTTATAACTGAATCGATCTCAAAATTTATCATCTGGGATCTTAGACATGTTTTTGAATGCACTCTCTCAAATACATTATGCAACACAGAGCATAAAAACAAACATTCTATTCTCCTACACCTATGAAATCAATAATTCAACTTACAGCTTTCCTCCTCTTTCTCAACTCCTGGTGCAGCCGGAACCTCTCCGCTTCGGTCAAAACCTGATGAACGGGGATATGCTGTGGCTCAGCCACTGGCTTGGCCACGTCCTTCAACTGCGATGCCTCTAACTTGCACATGTTGGAGAAGACTGTGCCCCTCCTGGCGACTCGGGGGTGTATATACCTCCATCCCCGCTCCTTCCCCCACCCACACTCCCTTTTCCCGCGTTTTTGAGATGACCCAAAGCAGAAAAAAAATTTACGGTCTGAAAGGTTTCCTTCCTGAAATATTATCCTCAGAATAGTTCAAAAAGCAGATGGGCTGTAGAATACATGGAATAAATTAGTTATTCTTAATAACTTGATATTCGTTAAAAAAAAAAAAATCGTTGATTTGTATATTCTTATAAGAAAATTGATCCTAAAAAGAAAATTTTTCATGAATTATCTAAAAATAGTTTAAGTTAAATGTTCCAGTAATAGGTACTGTACTTGTAACAGACAGTTTTCAACTCATTAACAATATAGGTTTTGCACGTTCAAAAGAGAGTGCAAATATGAGTGGATTTGCAGTTAAAATACTTATAAGAGGGTGTTCACTGAAGCTCAAATGATATGCCACAATAGTCGATTAGTTGTGTTTTTAATGGAGCAAGATTGGGTTCTTTGTTTCAGAGAGGCTTCCTTATCACTTTTCTTCAGAAGTTAAGTTTTAAATTTGTATTCATTTATCTGTAGTTTGCAATTTTGAAATATAAAATTGTGTTAGCATGAAGTACACAGCTTATTTTAAAGAATAACTCAACGTATTTTTTATTATTTTATTTCTCAAAAGTGTATAATTATAATTTTTCCTACTGTACATAGTTGTAAGTGTCTTGTCATAGTTTTAAGTATTTTGTTTACAGATTTATTTTTTGTTTGTTTAACTAATATTTTCTTTACTTTCTCTTTTTTTTATTATTGTTTTATTTTGGCCAGATGTAGTCTATTAATTATGTACTATTTGTTATTCTAAAGGGACTTTGTCCCAGAATAAAGTTATTTTCTATTTCTATTTCTATTTTGTATATACAGGCTAAGTATATAAGTAATTCTACAAATATCTATAGGTTCATTTTTAATTTATCAGATGAACCATATAAAGAAAACTTCTTTCCGTAAGTATTTACCTGATAGAACAAAAATAAATTTTGTACTAGATATAGCCGGATTCAAATTTTGGAAGGTACTTGTGAGACACCGGAACTTGAGTTAAGTAGGAGAGGACTGGATACGGTTGTGACAATTTTCTTTTAATAGTCTTCAATTTTGTTACTGTGCCTATTAGATGGATGAGCGTTATTTTTTATAGAATATTGTACACTTGGTTTCTTATAAATAATAAAATTTGATCCATAAGAACAACTGTTCTCATAGGAGCAAATTAGAAAAAAAAAAGTCGAAGACCTCTCAACAAGGACGGTAGTGACTAGTTCAAAAATAGTCTGACATCACTTTTATTCTACTATTTAAGAAAATAAATGAAATCTGAGAACAATTTAATCGCTAACACCTAATCAGGTATAAACATTTCTATTTGAATCAACTATTTATTCTTGGTCTTCCTCGAGCGTTTGCTGGATATCGAAAGAAAAATTAATTCACTTGTGTCATCACTCTACCAAATATGTCACAACCATACTCCAAGACAATCCTACGTAAAAAAACCAGTCGTTACGACAATATAAAATTATCTATCTACAAAACAATCACTTATAATTAACAACTAATCTTGAATTTATAACGAGGAAAACATTCATTACTCTGTCGATACATATCAAAAGTCACACTACAAAAGCCTATAAGAACTAAAACCAAAAATTTTCAGGAGACGAAAAATATGCATATTTTTTGTTCTATTAGTATTATATTTTCGGTTAAATTTTTTTTTTGCAGGTTGTGACTTATTTTATCGTATTTCTGCAAAATAATCTTTTAGAGCCATTATTTCTAACTTATAGCTTTTTAGTTGCATTAAAAACCAGGTATATTAGTTAGATAAAATCAGGTAGTAATAGTTAGGTAAAATTAGGTAGTAGTATTAGGTAAAGGCAATTATATTTATTGTAGTAACATCCATAAATTTATTAATAACGACCAAAGCACGACAGGAACAAAGTGAGTTTCCAAACTGTAGAGAAACGATACTTCAAATCGAAGTTTGTAAAATACTTGACTGGAAAGCCAGTATTTAATTACACAGTATTTAATTCATTTTTTGTCGCCCAAACGGAGTGCATGTGCCCCATTATGGATTAGACTATGGAAGATTCGTTTTTAACATACTAAAATTCATATGTACATGGTTTGATTTACGAATACTTGGTTAGTTCTGGGTAACCAGCTGATGTGTACATCACTTTTTTCCTGAACTTCTGGCGATATCGAAGATTCATTGGTTTGAAAAAAAAACAACTACAGTTGTTTTTTCGTCTCGTGTTAAATTTTACGTTTGATGAAATCAATTCTGTCTCTCACTATCTAGAATTCAGCGACATAGTATTTTTTTCCAGCCCAACTCGTTTTGCAGTAACAAGGAGGTTTCGATTGTTTCGAAGATTATTTAATATTATAATTCGACTTTCTATTCTCTTTTTTGCTTCATCTAGTTCCATGGTAAGCAGAGCAAGAAGTGAAACCGGTCATTTGTTTAGAGGCGTCGGGCTGGAATTGCCCGCCACTTTGAAATTACAAAAAAGAAATTCAAAGCTTATGAGGAAAATTAACAAAGCTAATTAATACTGTAGTTTATGCGCAAAACGCTTTACACATTCTGTATTTATATGACCACCTTTCATTCAGCATTTCATTACAGTTATTTACATCACAATTTGCTACTTTTAAATAACAGGTTTTTACAAAAGGCCACAGAAAAGAAATGAAACATCATAGATTTTATTTTGTGGGATCAGAATTTGCTTTAGTACAAGATTGACCAGAAAATCTTAAAACCTCATTTTCCATATAAATTGTTCTTACAGCCTTTTGCAGTGTCGATATAGTGTCGGGTGTCGATATATAACAACTATTATTCAATGAAAGTTACTTTTTTTCTGTTAAAAAGTAATGAAGGCATTTACTAGCTTTAATGCAGCGCGATGCGTTAGCAATCCTGCTAAATACGTTCAGACAGGCACTAAGTCCCTTTTTTTCCTATAAACCTATCGGCTATTTCTTATAGTTCCGCTAATATGACCCCTGGCACAACCGTAGCCAGTCTCCACTACCTTCCTATCTAACGCTCCATACATTTACATATTATTTATAATAAAATAAACAATATTTAGCATTTACCTATTAGTCCGAGGTACAGACCCCTATTTATCGAATTATTAACATCCGCCTGAAACTTCGTAAATAGTTTCATCCCATCGTAACCTACAACTATTTTATTTACGAAAACTCTTGGAATTGGGGCGTTTTCAATCTGAAAGAGGGCAAAGTTTGTCTATTTAGGTAATAAAAACTCGTACATACTCATTTGGTCTCTACTTGGATAATAAGATAATTTTATCACAAAATCGAGAAAAAATGTGGTCTACAAAAATATTGGGCCGTTTGTCCTATATAACCTCGTTAATTTGAAAATTTGAGGGTTTAGTTCACGCCAAACAGTTCAATATTTTTGAAGGCCACCTTTTTTCTCGATTTTGTGATCAAATTATCTTACAATCCAAGTAGAAAGAAAATGAGTAATTATGTGTTTTTAGTACCTAATTAAACAGATAAAGTTTTCCCCCCTCCAGATTGAAAACGCCGTAATTCCAAGAGTTTTCTTGAATAAAATAGTTGTAGGTTACGATGAGATACAATTATTTAACTGAACTATCAGTTTCAGGCGGATGTTAATAATTCTATAAGAAGAGGTCTGTACCGAGGACAATATAGTTGTCTACTGGAAGCCATTTTAATCAATCTTCTTTTAAAAAATATAATCATAATAAAACTCGAAAGCTGGCTATGATGTAGTATGACATTGAACAACTTGTTAAGAACGCTCGTTTAAGTTGTTGCGTCCAAGAGACAAGCATAACAAATCAACTGCTCATTAAGAAAGAATAATTTCAAATAAATAAATACAACACCTATATTCATTTATTCTACATTTTCCACAATAAATATGTGCTTAATTGTTTCAATATACATACATATATATATATATATATATATATTATACAATGTACAGTATTTATATATATATATATATTACAGTTTTTTTATAATGTTACATTTGAAGGTTTACCGATGGATTTATTAGAGGTTAAAATAAAACAGTTGCTTAATTTTTGCACAATATTTTTTAAAAAATTGTATCTGTTTTACTAAATGTATTTTTTTTTACCTTTATTGGCACTAAAAAACTGAACAGTAAACTTTTAGAAATAAATATAATGTTCACTTATTTTTTACCAATTATATCTCCCTTTGCTTTTGTAACGATAAGTAAGGATCATATTATTTGTATTTTTTAAGGTTTATATTTTTCTTTTTAATTTCAGAATAATTAAAATTCCCTCTATCGGTCATCCCGATCCTTTGAGGAAGATAGGGATTACGAATGTATCTACCAACAACTCTTTCATTTTTAGACACAGTTTTAAAGAATGCGGAAAGAACTTGAAAATGCAATAATTAAAAAAAAAAAATCTCTTGAGGATTTTACCAGCGATCGCATATTTTGAAGGTCATTGTCTTTTTGGTTGATTTTTAAATTATTAAATATCCATTTAACAATAAACGCTGTTGTTTTAGATATCTACTAATGAGGAATATTCTATTAAAAGTCAATATATATATTCACTTTAAGAAAATTATTTCCTAAAAATAAGATTAAAAAAAATATAATAAGATAAGTTGTCGTCTTATATTTCATGCAAATAAGATATTTTTTAAAATTAAAAAAGTTTATTTTTAACAATTACTGCATAAGAGGAAAATTCAAGTTTCGATGGAAACTTAATAACTTTTAGTCATCGAATACATAAAAGAAATGGAAATATTAATTTTTTATAGATCAATATATATTCAATTATATTAAATATTTATTATTTATTTATTAAATGAATTCATGAAAGGTTAATGAGGCATTGGCAATGTTAATGTTTCGTTTAAACATTTTCTCACACAACATCATAATTTTTGTTTGAATTCACATATTCACTTTTTGATGCC